CTTGCCTCCATGTTCTCCCTACCACTTGGTAGAAATAAAAAGCATGGGTAGATTATTGGGTCTAGACGGAAACAGCAGCACTCTGTGCTCCGAAGAGAGCATCAAATTATGATGTGACAGTATTAGACATTATCTGTGAGTATTTAAGTATCCGTGGAGACAAATCAAGCTCCTTTTCCTTCTCCCAGTGCTCCCAGTACTGCAGAAATACACCAGATACGTCAGTCAGAAACAACCAATCAGAGCCAGGAGAAGGGTCTTAGTGCGGTCAGTCACTCTCGTATGTGATTGACATTGGTGGCAGCCTCAACATAGCCTGCCACCAATGTTGAGGCTAGTTAGCATAGCCACTGATAAAGGTGGATAAACAGTTTTCCTGTAACAGCAAGTTGTTTTTCCACCGTTAGCACATTGAGTAGCATACAGGAGGTTGATTGACAGCAATAAGACCCTCCTCCTGGATCTGATTGGTTGTTTCTAACCAGTCCTTGCTCTGGGAGGAAGTGGAGGAGCTTGAATATTTTTGACAGATTTGTCTCATATTACACTGTTTTGACAGTGACGGTTTTAACAAATGTGGAAAAAAACACATTTTCGTAAAAGCTACATGCTGCAGCTTTAAATCTTATATATTAGGGGAGCATGTTGGAACCCTGCTGTTTAGTGGCCTGTCATTAATTGTTTATGTGTGAGGTCTCTTTCTGGAGAATGTGAAGCCGCCCCCGCCTCTCCTTTTTACAGTCGGACAGCTGGCGTCCGTGTCGTTATTTTCCCCGAGCGTTCTGTTCCTCGGACACTTTGTGCCTTTTTATTAGCTGAATGACTGATGCCCGATTGGTAGGAATGCGTTAGACACAAATGGTGACTGTCAAAGTGGAGTTCATAGTCGGCCCGGCTCTGGGCTCGCCTGTCAAAAGCCTTTATTGTATCCGTCTCGGAGTCGTCCAGGGGTCCCGACCATCCTGTTGACTTTTTCCTCCCTCACCCCCCAATAAAGCCCATTAGGGTCACCGTCTTCATGCTTACAAACAAGAAACCCACAGTGGCCAACAATGCGGTCACAGAGTCGGCTCTGGCGGAGAACTTCCTCCGCGACTCGGTCAGGGAGTTCATAGCAAACTTCCTAGCAATTTATTATCTAAATGAGGAGAGCGCGAAGGGACTTTTTTTTCCTTCTTCTTCCTCTTGTCTCTGCTCACGAAGAGTAATGAGCTCCCAGACTTTGATCGCTTTGGCGTGACATGTTTTCCGATGCTTGTTCACTCAAAGTATGCCACTGTGATTTGTTTGTATTGAATTACAAATGACGGGCTGGCAGAGAAGTGTATTCTCCTGCATTAGAAGGATTCCTCACCCAGTGCCAAATTTGCCCTTTAGGCCAATGAGCTGCAGCAGGCAGCTGCCAAGTTGTACTCTTAATGCAGAGTGTTATGTACAATAGAGCGATACAGGAATCTGGCTTATGTGATACGCAGCTGTTTTTTTTGTTGTTGTTGTTGTTTCCTCCCACTGTGACTTTATTCTTCATGTAGACCAAATGTTACTTCGCTTCGTCGCTGATTTGTGGCTAAACGGAGATCAGTAGAAATATTTTTGTAGTGGAATAAGACTGATTTTTACATTGTAGACTGAAAGGCACAGTGCCATGGAATCTGTCGAACATGAAGTTGAAACGTTTGGTTTGACGTTTCAACACGTGACGTTGCGCAACTGTGAAAAGAAGGGAAATGATCCACATCTTTGAAACATTTTTTTAACAAAAGGCTATCAAGAAAGTCATGACTCACTGACTGTCGTTTGTAAAACCAACTTTCACTCTAATAAAATGAAAACGTACTGCTACCACTGGCAGATTATTTCACTTCTAACATGAGGAAAATATCTTGTTAAAAGTGAAACAATCTGCCATTGGAACTCGTACTTTTTACGTCAATATTAAGGCATTAATATTAAAACAAGATGGTACATCTTGCTGAAAAGCAACTTCCCAGCCAGCATGCCTAGGTGGGACCCATGTGGGGACAAGGAGGGCAGACTATATGGGTCCCATATGGGTTTGTCCGCGGGTTCCACGATGGCCCCACAAGGGTTTGCCCATGTAGGGCCACAGCCCACATGGGTGCTACATGGGCCCTAATTGGACAAAACCCATGTGGGCCACCACCATATAGGGCCCATGCAGGGCCCATGTGGGCTCTGGCCCTACATGGGCAAACCCATGTGGGGCCATCGTGGAACCCGCGGACAAACCCATATGGGACCCATATAGTCTGCCCTCCTTTTCCCCACATGGGGCCCACCTAGGCATGCTGGCTGGGTTTTGTCTTATTCCACATGTAATACTTTAGAGCAAAACTACTTGGTAAGATTTAGTGTTTTCTTGCAGTGAGGGGCTGGACATGGATGAATGGGACAAAGGGAGTGGAGAGTTGCTCAGAAAGCATGGACACTAATGGTGTACATGGCAGATCTAATCCTCCTGTCAGGGGATTTTCAGGGTGCATGATGAGCGTCAGGCTCGGCACCAGCGTCTCATTAGCAGGAGGGCAGCTGTGCAGAGGTGGACAGCCTCTCCTCAGAGTGACCAGTTGGGTCGCAGAAGGCTGGGAACCAATCAACACTTAACCCTCCCACTCCAAGGTTGATTGACCTTTTTTATGTCTTTTGTTTGTTTTTACATGTATGTGTTAATGCTGAGCTTACGTCTTTATTTGCCTTAGCGATCTGCATTTTCTGTGCCGTCAACTTAAATTCTAAATGCATTTTTTGATTTAAATATATTGCCATAAAAATCACATTTTTATTTAACTTTTTTCATTACTTGGTCTTGAAACCCCTTCAGAATTGTATGTTTTGTTTTCTACTTGTATATCTTTCATGTACTTTAAATCACTCCAAGACATGAATAATAATTTAAAATTTTGCTGTGCTTTCTTGCACAATGACAGCAAAAGGAATTCTGAATAATACACCAAAAAAAATGTCCAAATTTGAAAATGACATGCTAAAAGCCTCCCACAAAAACCTCAAATGTTAAAACCTGCATTCAAAGGGTCAAAAATTAAATAAATAAAATTATTAAAATGAAAAGGATATTCTGTAGGAATGAGGAGCATTTTTTTTCTGTCCCATGGAACCAGATTGAGAATTTATTGAAGAGCTCAGATATTAGTCCTTTAACCAATAGATTAAAATATAAGTAAAATAAAAGTTTAACTTGCTAAGAGGACGGTAGAAAAATATTGTTCTATTTTTTTTTTCTAAAGAAAAGCTGTGGAATAGCAGATTGCTGGCATTTCAAGGTAATTAAATACATATATTTAATTTCAATTTTAGATTTATGAACGTGATTTATGAACATATTGTTTTCTTCTCTGAAAGAATCCTACTTGATAATCCATGCTACATTACAAAGAAAGAAAAAGATAAAGAAATAGAGGATGTCATTATTAGAATAGAAAATAAGCAGTGAGTGTTAAAGGGAGATACTTTTATGACTGTCGAGAGTTTCCCTTTTTTTCTGCTGTAACACTGAAAAACCTAGTCTTGTTTGGATTTAAAATATTTGCAGCAGACTGAATGCTGGAGGCGCTGAGACTTTGCTTATGTTGGAGGCAACACTGGAGCTCTTAGCTGTACTTCATGCAAATTACCCGACAAGAATCAAAACATTCCCTAGAAAATATTTCAGCCTGAAGCCGTAACTTTGATAGTCATTTGAGAAACACCACATATTATCATTTCTCAAAAAGATTTCAAGCATACGTTTACTTCCTGCCATATTTTCTTCCCTCATTTCCCCCATACCCTCACACAAATCCTGAATCTGATACTTTCGTCAACCAAAGTAGTCACGCATTACAAATCATAAGTGCACGCTGCCTGTAGACGGTTCAGTGTGGCTATGGTGAGTTTGCTGCTTACATTAAGATGTATCAGGAGTGTCTGAGTTGGCTAAAACAGCCTGTGTTGGAGGGAGAACCCCCTCTAGCCAGTCACCTCTGCTCAGCCTGGGGGCTAGTCCGGGGATCTCTGTCTGCTCCTCTACCTAGAACGCCCCAGCAGCCCGTCAATCACTCTTCTGAGCAACGCCGCGTTGCCTGACCGGTTGACCGTCTGGCCGTTGCATCGCAAACCCCACCAGACCTTTGCTGTCAAGAACAGAAGCTCTAAGAAGAAAAAAAAAAAGAGCTTTGTCTCATCCTGTGTAGCCTCGGTCGGTGGATCATACCAATATACCTCGGTTAAATGAAAAGCATATTTTAGGTGTTGGATTATATTATATATTATAAATATTAGAAATGTCGCCATATTAACATCAGAAACAAACAAAATTCTAGACTGGGTATCGGTGATAATGTGTCGGATCTACTCAGTCTAACTCTATGCTTTGTGCTCTGAGTGACATCATGCTTTATTTATTTTACATCCTAATTGTACTTTGAACCATTTGAAAGAAGGTTTGTTTCAGTCTATTTTTACATGTTTGTCCAAGGCAGTCAACCTATTGCTTTAGTCAGTTTCTTTATTATTTATTTTACATTGGTTGCCATTCTCCTAATTGCACAGACGGAACAAATTAAAGTTGTTTTTGCATGTTTGACCAAGCTTGTGAAGTCATTGGTGTATTTAAGTGTGCTGTGTTGGTGCAGAGTTATTAAATAATTCAGTACATTTGTGCCTCTGTTTAAAAAGAAAAAAAGAAATGTTTTAAGTCAGTTCAGTACTGTTTTGGGCTGAATTGATAAATTCAACACAAATTTGAATTTTGTGTAGTATCGGTATTGGCCGATACTACACTTTATTTGTTATCGGAAATTTAAAGAGTGTATGGGTTCATCCCTAGTAGTTATCTTATTACCTCAAAGGAAATGAGTGGTGTTTTTAATGACTGAAAGTATTCTTTAAATTTAGACTTTACCTCTTGAATCAGTGGTTTTGACTCACTACTGCTCTGTCAACTTCTTCTAAATCTTATTCCTCTGCTTGTTCATCTGCAGGTCATCCTGATCCTGACCAAGTATTACCATGCCGACTCAACCAAGGTGTTGGAGAGTTCGTTGTGGAGGTAGGCCAAACTCTTTCACCGCTTTCACCCTCACTAGCCATCCCTGTCATGTGTCGGCTCACGGAGACCTTGTTGTTGTTTTTTTTTTTTTTTTGTTTTTTTGCATGTGCATACGACTTCCCTTATACAGCCGGGGTTGTCGTTATCTCTGCCCCGTCGCCTGCTTTAAGGAGACAAGGGCGCGACAGAGCACCATGACGGACAAAACATCAGCAGGCGGCTAAAGCTAATGTAGGGGAGCAGGAAAGGGGGATGCTAACAGGCTGGAGCGGACATCTGTTTGGACAGATACGGTATCAGCGTGGCACAGGGCAGCGTGGTAGACACCGGCAGCGACAGGAAAGGGGGTCAGGTCTCGCTGGCAGAGCTTCCTCTGTTTAGCCAAGCTGCTCCTCGCCAACACACTTCTCACCTCTCCTCGCTGTAGAGCAGCAGATAGCATATTTCTTCCATTCTGCTCCACTTGACAACAAGTATATCTCGTCTTCATACATGTATCCTCATGGAGTATTAATGTCTGTTTCATTCTGCGGCTGCTCGCCACGAGTTCTTGGGATTTCTTTCTTCGACACCAAGAAGAAACTTCTGTTTTTTCTTAAAGAAATAATAGTGAAAAAAAAAAAAACAGAGGGGAAGATATTTAAAGCTGCAGTGTGTAACTTTTATTTAAAAAATAAAAGAAAAGTTGTTTTTTTTACATCTTTTTTTACTGTTGTAACATGTCGTGACAGTATAATATGAGAAATAATTTTAGAAAAATTCAAGCTCCTCCTCCTCCTCTCTATTGCTGCCCAATGAAATGCACTGCTCCAAACAAGAGCAACCAATCAGAGCCAGGAGGAGGAGCTTGGCGCTGTCAGTCAAACTCACAAATGCATTCCTATATGTCCTAACGGCGGAGGAACAACTCACTGTTACAGGGAAACTGTTTATCCATGGCTATGCTAGCTAGCTTTAGCATTCATCAAGGGCTCTGCCTCGCTCACTGTCAAAAACAACCAATCAGAGCCAGAAGGAGGGTCTTAACGCTGTCAGCAAACCTTATGAGTGTATTACTATATGTTCTAATGGCAGAGAAACAACCTACCACTGCAGGAAAAACAGTTTATCTGCCGTCTGCCATTGCTAACTTTGCCCCTGATGTTAGCAGCCTTAGCATTCAAAGGCTCTGTACCACTCACGGTCACACACAACCAGTCAGTCAAGAGGAGTGCCTTGGCGCTGTCTGTCAACTACATGAATGTGGTGCCAAACGGGCTAATGGCTGTATTGTAGCAGAGTGATAGGCGAATGATTGACAGCGCCAAGACCCGCCTCCTGACTCTGATTGGTTGTTTCTAGTTGGCACTTGGAAAAGCCAGAGGAGCTCGATTTTTCTCAGTTTGTCTATCCAGTTTCACAACATAGTGACAGTTCCAACAGATATCTACATATTTTTTGTTACATACTGCAGCTTTCATAGCATTTGAATCTCTGAATAAAGCCGGTTAAACAGCAGAGTTGGAGATTCACCACACTGGTTCGGGTGGACCGTCTAAAAGGCTTCCACACACAGCAAAATATCTGACGGCGGGGCTTAATTCATGCCGTTCACCTCACCGACGACTCCATGACTTCAAAGCTTCCTCTTCTCATTAGCTCTGAGTGCCAGTCTCCCTGGAGGACAGTTATGAATAATGTACATATTTTTTTTCCCCCTCCTCTCCGTGTTGATGTTTTAATTGTTGCAGCGCATGAATAATGCGACTTTAAAACTCGGACAGCTTGCTTGTATAAGTAAAAGAAACAAACGGCGGAGTTTTGTCCGAATCTTAATTGGCATGAACGAGAGCGGGCCATCTGCCCCGCTGGTTTCATTGTCCAAAGCACGTAAAATGTCATTAAATCACTGGAGTTTTTTTTTGTTTGTTTTTCTTTTCACATAGCTACAGAAGAGTCATCCTTCAGTTTGTCAACGGGGTCGTTTTTTGTTTTTTTTCTTTTAGCTTCCCATGTAGCTGTGAGTTTTTTGCGCGGCGAGTGGTCGGCCACAGTCAGCCGCAGTCAGCTGGCCTTTGGGCTTTGAAGTCCCTGAGCCGTAGGATCAAAACGGGAAGATGAATGGCTCTGCCGTCTTCAACTGTCAGGTAGCATGAGATCAACGCGTCAGGTTTCTACAGAGGGGAAAAGTTACCAACTCGGAGGGGAGGAAGGGTTTTGGGGAATTAACAAAATGAGAGCATGATGATGAATTCAACAGGGATCCAACTTGACAAAAAGAAAAGAAAACCTGTACAAAACATTTCCTGTTGACGGCTTCTGTTCTGAACGTGGAGTTGCATTGCCTGGAAGGCAGCAGGAGGAGCGTTCATGTGTTCATAAATCAGCTACTTTAAATAGTGGGGGTATAACCTTGGTGAAAGGGCGCATTAAGACGTGAAAGCGTGCCGAAGATGGAACTCAGTCTGAATTGTTGTCAACTAGTGCTAAAAAATATATTTTTATTTCGAGCTATGTAAAAGAAATAATCCGTAAAATGGGTATAAATGGAACAAATATAATATATGTACTTTAGTCACAGTAGTCAACTTTAAGTAAGAACAAGACATTGTCTGAGTCATCAAATTCATATTTTATAAAGTAATACTGTATTTAGACATAAACAAGAATGAATTCAGTTTGAAAAGCAGAGAAGACAAACTTAGTATTCATATATAGAAATCGTGTGGTGTTCACTTTGCTTTGAAGTTTAGCAATTTGTCTTATGTACACATTTTACAATATGTATTTTCTTAAAAACCAAAGATGTGACTCCTAACCAAATGAATATTTTAATTGTATACCATAGAAACTTATTAATTATATAATGGAATGTGTCTGTATCAGTTTCAGTTATGAATAAAGTTATATTTAGTAATTGTGTTGCGGTATTGTTGAAAGCGGCAGTCATAATTGATTTGAGTTTTGTATATTGTGCATTAAGATCTGTAGATCAACTAATCGTGATTGGTTCAGTGATTTCCTGAAAAATTAATCCTTTTTAAGTCGGCAGGTTTTTTCTAATGCGAGTTTTGAAGTGTCACATTCGAATGTTTTTCAGCTTTAAAGAAGCACAATTTTATTTATATTTTTAGGTTTTAAAATAAGAACATAGATGTAAAAAAATAGATACATTTTCTTCATTGGGATGTTGATACAATCTTATGACAAGAAAAATAGATCTAAAAACACAATAGTGGTACTGTTAGTGTCACTCTTTTGTGGAAATGAAATGCAATTATGAAAAATTAAAGCTTAAACATGATTGAAGGTTTCACCTGAGCTGTCTTTGAGAAAACGTTTTGTTCTAATACTCATTTGGATAAGTTACTCAGTGACAATGACGCTTTGAAATCTAACAGAAAAAATGGTCAAATAAGGGACACCTGGGAACTATTCAGACCTTCACTGAAACAAAGCATTACTCAACCCTGTTAGCAGCTGCTAGCTGTTAGCACACGTGGGCTTATCGAGGAGACGGTCCAGCTGGTTTTAGTTTCTGTCCTCTTTATGAAGTAGATCCACTTTATGTCAGTGTCAACGCTGTTTATATAACACTTTACAACAAACAAGCTTCACCGTAGTGCTGCGCAGAGAGCACATACTAGCTGAGATGGAAAAAGATAAAACGGATAAAAAGAAAATAGTTTGAAAAGAAAATAACAACGTAAAAAATAGAAATAGTTAACATGTCGAGCTAGCTGTTTAGCCTAAAAGTCAAAGAGTAGGTGGGTCTGGAGTTGATGAGCAGCTTTAAAATGTCTGTAGAGAAGGAGCGCTTCTGGCTGTTTGACCTTAGCGTTCTTTGGATGTATTCTGTTTACTTTAAAGGTTTTATTGGCGCTAGCGGCCTTTGAGTGATCAGACAGGAAAGTAGGTAATGAGAGAGGGGAAGACCTGCAGCAAATGCCATCAGGCCGGGAATCAACCCTGTGACGGCCGTGTCAAGAACTAAGGCCTCTGTCTGTGGGTTGTGCCACCACAGCACCCCTAGCTAGAAAGCTAGCTAGAATACAGCTAGCTTTCTACCTAACCCTCTATCTATCTAGCTAGCTAGCTTTCTATCTGACCCTCTGTCTCGCTAATTAGCTTTCTATCTAACCCTCTATCTAGCTAGGTGTTTAGCTATCTATCTTAAGTTGTTTTCCATTTTTATACATTAATACAATTGCATGAGTAATTGTCATTTTATAATAAAATGTTAGTAAATAAGTACATCTTCTACATGTCCATTTCATCCTGTGTGAGAGCCACACTTCTTGATGGAATAATAATTAAAAATCTAAAAATCGCAGTGAATACTGTTGAGCTCTAATATTGACTTTTAAGCAGAATATCTAAAATCAGCCCCAACCCCCCTTTATTTTTTTGCTGACTTGGCACCAACTTGGTGTGACCGAATGAAGCGCGGCAGCTTGTTTCTGCTCCTCTTTTCATATTTTAACGTCTCGATGATTCGGCCTCTTTTCGTTCGGTTCTGACGAGAATCAGAAGCGCCGTGTGTTTCTACGCCGCGTGTCGCTAAGGGGAAAGTTAAATCTGAATCTGTCTTGCTTGACAATGTCGTTTTAGGTCACCAGACTTGACTCGTGCCTTTAATTCAAAGATCGCTCCTGATAAAGCTTTCACGTTAAATGAATGAGAATATGCTTGAGGCGCGAGGATTTGCTGCGGCTCTGCCGAACTCTGCTGCTCCAGAAGGGGCTGTGAAACACAGAGTAAACCTTTTTGATCCTCGTACTGGAAGAAGCAGATGTACTTCTAAATCAGTTTTTCCTCTTTAAATCCTCACCACAAATGTTTGTTTTCACACGACGTGTAAAGATTTAAAAGCTAGAGTGGCTGTGTTTCTGTCTCATGCGTAGAATCTACTTTTTTTTTTAAGAGTTCCTTTGCCTTGGAGCGGTGGTGTCTCCATTTATCATTATTATTACAATTGTTTATTATTTGGTGGTGTACTGTATGCTCTTTTGAATGCCATG